CTGAGCTTTTGCTCCCTCAATCCCGCGACAAACCGGTCGCGGAGGGCTCCGTCGAGGTGTGCCCCGAAGTTGCAATCTGCGGCCAAGTGGCGGAGCTCCGCGAGGAAGTCCGCGGCCGTCTCCCATGCGAGTTGGCTCCGGTCATAGAACGCTAGCCTGCAGGTCATCTCCGATGGCTTAGGTGCATAGTGGTCCTGGATTACCTTTACGATCTCTTCAAACGAGCAGGCGTCCAGGTCCTTCGGGGAGAGTAGACCTTCGGCTAGGGCCACTACGTCTGTGCCGCAGGAGGCGAGGAGGAATCCTCTCTTTTGTGCCTCGTCCGTCACCTTGTAGTACACGAGCGCGGACTTTACGCCTCGAACCCACGCACCCCATTTTTGCGGCCGCGCCGTGTCGAAGGGCGGCAGCAGGCTCCCCTGCCCCGGCGCGGTCGTCATCGTGCTGGACGGGGCTGAAGCCGGGATCTGCTGGGCTGAAGAGGACTCAGTCATCGCTCGGCTGTGGGGCCGTTCCGTTCAGACACTCTCCGGTTGGGGTGGCCTAGCGCTGCATCCCACCTTCGTCGCCACTATTGTGTAGTGGGTTGACCGCGTGGCTAGGCCTACTCAGCTCCCATAACATGGTGCACGCTTGACTCTTACACAACTAAGACAAAGACAAACGGCCAGCAGGCCAACTATATACATATCCAGGGCACACCCCTGGATCCCATTGGGAGGTTTGAATTTCCCTCCTCCTTTCCCTTGGCTCCTATTGGAGAGACCAAGAGCCTAGTTCCATTGTCCACCTCCTATTGGAGAGACCAAGAGCCTTGGCCCCTTGTGGCGGCCAGCATACACAACATCGTGCAATCGAGGGAGTTCAGACAAGGTAAAGGTCTATGGCTGTGTGCCTGAAGTCGAGCAAGGGATTTGGGAAGAGCATTTTGCGGTCACTCATCTTTCAACAACGATTGCAGGTCTCCTGCCGTAGGTCGTCTCCAAGCATCAACACCCAACTGCCCTTCTCCAGTGAGAGGAGACTCAGCCCTGGATTCGGACTTCCACACAAGGCTTGGCAGGACTTCCCCCGCCCCTCTTCCAAGAAGGAAGACCACCTACAAGCTAGGCAACCCTTCCCCCCTCAACAGGGAAAGCAGAGTGTCTTTCGCATGGAGGAGGATGCAGAGGGAGATGCTGGCCATGACCCCCAGGCACAGGTAAAGTCCCACCATGCAAGGAGGAGCATAGTTTTGTGGGTTGATGCCAGGCACTTCACTCTAACCACTGCACCTGCTGCCCCCCTTTGCCCCATGGAGCCGCACAAACAGTTGGGGTGGTGTCAGAGTTGCTGAGCAGTCCTGTCCGCGGGACTCCAGGATCCGGCAGCAGAGGCAGAGGGAGGCAGAGGTCTGCGGGGTGCAGAGTGGCAGCGACGTTTTCAGCCCCTTCTGAACCCTCCTGCCTGCAGGACACGACCTGCAGGGGCCCTGGGCCTCTCATGGCTCCTGCGCCTCTGCAGGCTGCTTGACAGACAGATGTGGAACAGCTGGAAGCAGATGTGGAACAGGGATGCCAAGAGGGGGAAAGCTGCACCTGCCACTGTGGCACCCTGTGGCATTACAGACCTCTGGAGTCCCTCCCCTCCACAAACCCCGCCCTCCCCAGGCTCCACCCCCCCAGTCTCCAGGAATTTCCCAACCCAGAGGTGGTAACCCTATTTCTAGAGGTCATGGCTGAGAAGAAAAGATGATCTGTGTCCACTCTCAATATCTATCTACCCCTGTTCTGGCTTATGGGCTGTAATACAGATTCAAGGTAAAATTTGGGGCTGTTTCTTTCCTGATGCTGCCTGAGACTAAAACGAAACATGCCAGGAGATGCTGGGATGCCGCTGAAAAGGGTATCGGTGGGCTGAGCTCTCCCCCTTCTCAACTCTCCCCCTTCCCGCCTCCTCATGCAATTACCCACCCCTCAAAGCAGCAACCAACCACGTGCCAAAAAGGGAGAGGAAACGGCCACTACGTGATGACATCAAATGACAGATAAATGTCCTCAAGATGTACTGATGGACACGAATCTGCATTTCATATGGGCCTGTCATTTACTCGTGACAAAATCAAGTCAGCCTCCGGACTCCTCATACTGGCTAGACATGCCAGAGAAGGTTGCTCGCCACGAGGACCCAGGTTTAAGTCACTCGGCAACAAGGACGGATCAGACTTTCTAAACCAATGATTTCAAAACTGTGGGCCACGCGGCAGTGCACTTTAAGGGGAACTGGGAGGCATGATGGAAATACGGAAGGATCCAGTGCAGGGTTTTTTCCGGCAGTGAAGGATCATAAATCCCAAATTAAAATGTTGTTCCTTGTACAGTATCCTGATGCAACAGCATCCTCTCAATGATGCTCCGGCACGGGTGATCTCATTTCTGTACTGCATCCTCTCAGTACAGCTGCACTAGATTGTAGAAGGAATTAAATGAGAAAGTCTGCCTTTTATCATCTTCTGCGCATCAGGCCACTGGTTCCTTATCTCTCCTCCCAGGACTTGGCTACAGTGACCCACACAAGGGTCACTTCCAGATTAGATTACTGTAACTTGCTTTATGCGGGTTTATCCTCAAATCTGATCCAGAAAACCCAGCTAGTGCAGAATGCGGCAGCGCCTGCTGACTGCAACGTCTGTGTGGGTGCACCTCCAGCCAGGGCTACGCCAACTGCACTGGCTGCCCATTGAGAGCCAGATCCGTTCCAAGGTGATGGTATTAACCTTTAAAGCCCTTTGTGGCCTGGGACCGACATACCTAAGGGACCCTCTCTCCCCATATGACCCTTGGAGAGCCTCGTGCTCTGCTGACCCACCTTTTCTGGCTGCCCCCGGCCCAAAGGATGTCCACTTAGCCTCGGCCAGGGCCAGGGCCAGGGCCTGGTGGAACTGGCCGGGATTTGAAGTCGGGGCCCTGCAGGAGCTGTTACGCCAGGCCTTCAGTTGAGGCAGCCGACCCCCAGCCATCCTGGCCTCCCTCGCTGAAAGCTCCCCTGTTATGTTGGCCCCACCACGGTCTCTTCTACTGCGACTCTTTGCTTTGCTGTTTATTAGCATTGCTGGAACATTATAAATTAATGTATGATTTTGCCACCTTTTAAATGATTTTAAGTAATTTATTGCAATATTTTGTTTTAATGGTTCTGTAAAATTCCTGTTGTTACCCATCCTGAGCCCACTTGCGGGGAGGGCGGGATATAAATCAAATAAATAAAATATAATAAATTTACAGCAGCCTCCCACACAAAACTGGAATGCAGAGAATCAGAGTGGCTCACAGAGCACACTGGTAAAAGCACCCCAGGGTGACGACACAGAGAAAACTTCAGGGGCAACTTCTCACTTAAATGTTTTCAGGCGAGAGGAAAACACTTTGAGAGGAGGGATGAAAAGGTGTAAGTTGTTTTTTTAAAAAAGACTGCATAATACTGAAGGAACTGGTATCTGATATATAGGATCTCTGGTGCATGCTGGGAAATGTGGTCCTGCAGTCTCCGTAGGCACAAGGGCTGAGGTCACAGCTGTCTGAGGGGAGGGGCAGATGGTGCTTTGTTTCAATTTGGAGGAAATTTAAACTCTGTATTTTTTTTAATATTTCAGATTTTTCTTCAAACCTGGGGGTCCCCTTAGTTTGCAGAAAAATCTGTTTAGTATCAGTGTGGCACCAATTCACAGATTTACATATCCACAGATGGGAGCCAGACTTCACTATTAAAGACAAATGAAATTCCCGTGGCATTTTGTTTGTAAATATTTTCCTTCAATGAAACACTAGCCAGTCAGAACTGAAGCGCCAGGTTCAGCAGAGGGAAAGTCAATACAATGGGGAGAGGGATAGCTCCTCCTCAAATGTCTAAGGAGGGATCCGCACCCCTGGAGTCTGCAACCAAGTGACCGACGGGGCGGGCGGATTTCTGTGCTCAAGGAGGTGCCCCTTCTAGCCCCACCCTTCCAGAACAGAACCCATTTTCTGTACTCACAGCTGTAGATAAGATTTCCACCACTTTCTGCAGGAATCTCTGGAAAAGAAGAGAGAAAAGGCCATCACTTCAAAACAGCCACTTTAAGTTATCTCCATGTCTCTGAGTGTGTTTTCCTGAGGGGGAAAGATAGTGGGCAGAACTGAAGCTGACTTTTAAAACGATGTCCGTGAGAGCCGGGCTTATCTGCAGTGCTTCGTCCCCTAGATGGCATTCTGCTTACACAATGGTCTAGGAAATCCTACTGTCTCTGGACTGTAGCCACCAGTCCCTGATTTGTAGGTTGGCCCCAGGGTTGCCCTTCCCCAGGTGGGGGCGAGGCATTGCCCAGTTTTGTGGGCTCCTGCCCGCCACCGGCCAGCTGGCCAGCGGGAGGAAATCCCCCCCAACAGCAATGTCACCCGGAAGTGATGCGGGCATGCTGGGGGCGATGATGCACAAATCTGTGCCTACCTGCTCACGTTGCTGAACTGGAAACACACAGTCGGAGTCCAACAAGTAGGATGAATATCTGATGAATACATTGGAAACAGGGAATGCCGGGGGAGTGGGGGGTGGGGCCGAGTGCCTTTGTAATAAACGTCAGCTAAAGGCTGAGCTAAATGAATTTGCTAGTGTATTCCTGCAGGGTCAGATTCCAGTGAGAGACAACAGTTCCAGCATATCTCTGTACTCTTCAGAGTGTACCCTGCCAATGACCTTCATGGGCCTTTGCAGAGAGAGTCACGCAGTTATGTTGCCAGAAAGCACCCAGCAGTGTGAAGCCTGGACAAACAATTCCACAGGGCCGGTGTGACAGTGCCCCACTCCAGCATGGAGCCGGAGCAGCCCCACCACAGGCACCACCCAAATGAGTCTAAAGAGGCTCAAGTTGCCAAGAGAAGTGACCCCGTGCTCTCCTGGGATCAGTCACAGGGATGACACCATTACTGTCCCAGATGTTTCTGCTTTTGGGGGCTGACTGGCATTTCCCTGTCCACTCATCACTGTATCCCCCCGAGAAGCTCCTGTTCATTTCAGTGGGGGTGTGGGGGGGAGGTATTTGCAAATTTCCTGCATTGTGCAGGGGGCTGGATTAGATGACCCTGGAGGTCCCTTCCAACACTATGATTCTATGATTCTACAGAAGACCTTTCCGGTGGATTTTGCCCCATGGGGCAATGTGTCTCTCAGTGTCCCAACCACAATCACAGTCAAAGCCAGCTGCCTAGAGTGCCATTTTGCGTTCTCTCGTTTGCGACACCTCAGGGCTTAGCAGGTGTGAGGAACTTAATATTGCAAATGGTGGTGGAAACTGCTGTCAGATTTATGGCGACCCTGTTGGGTTTTCCAAGACCAGAGACCTTCAGAGGGGGCTCCTCATTGCCTGCCTCTGCGCAGCAACCCCTGGACCTCCTGTGCGGTCTCCCATCCAGATACTAACCAGGGCCGACCCTGCTTAGCTTCCCTGGAGCATGGGATTGGACTAGCCTGGGCCAGCCAGGTCAGGACAATATTCCAAACAGCTCACTCTGAAAAGCTCATTTCGTCCCAAGGATTAGCTGCATATGTACCTCCTCCCTACTGCTGAGGGTCAAGACAGAAGAACTTGGAATTACGGTTCTGACACAGACCGAACAAGTTTTCCAGTTTATGCATCACGGAAGGAACTGTTACAGATGTGCTGGTTGTTCCTTTCCCTCCTGTGTTAATTTTTCTGCGCATGGTCTGGTCAAGCAAATTTTACTTCTAATTTGCTGCCTGGTGTTTGTAAGAGCCACAGATATCCAAAAGCAAAATCCATCTAACTCCTGAAATAAGACCAACCAAGATGACCCAATATAGGAAGTATCCAAGACGAGGACAGAAGCCGAATGGACTCCTGGGCAGACCAAGGGAGGCGCCTGATGGGCTGCTGATCAAAACAATCACATTTTCCTGGCAGGAAAGAAGCTGCGTGGGGCCACAAGAGCTGTTATATAGCAAGAAGGGATGAGCAGGAAATGAGTCTACACACACTCCACTTCCGAGGCACAGGGCAGAGAAACAAAGAGCATCAAAAAAGACCCAACCAAGATCCACACAGCCGCCTGTGACACTTACCTGAAAGCCGGTAAGATGCCAGGTCAATACTCAAGGACCCCGTTGGTGCCCTCAGCCTTCTCAGCAGAGCACTGTTGACACTCTCCCAGAGCACCTTTCGGCTGTCCGAGGCAACAAACTTAAAGACCAGCACTGCATCTGCCAGCACAGCCCCCTCATCTGGGCTGCAAAAGAGAACATGCAAGTGAGGATGCTGGTTCCCGCCCTGCCTGTGCTTAAGCAGGGCCTGCATGGGAGCCAGAGAGACCACGGGATTGGCAGAGGAAAAATAAGCAACAACAACCATGATGTAATTACGAAAAGCCAATTCAATTTTTCAAGTGTTTGGTAAATACTAATACATTTCTGTGAAATCCCAGGGACACAAATATCCTTCACAATAAAAATAGGCCAATGACGTAATGCTCTTCTCTATTGCAGGAGACTGCCTAGTCCTCTTCACCTCAAGCTTCATCCAATGCAAATAAAGTGCAATAGCCAGTAAAATCTTCTTTGTGTCTTTCTTATTCTTAGAATCATAGAATGTTAGAGTTGGAAGGGGCCTTGCAGGTCATCTAGTCCAACCCCCTGCACTCTGCAGGAGCAGAGCTGAAAGATAGCCCTACATACCTACAACATACCTGAAAAATGGTCGCCCAGCCTCTGCTTGAAAACGTCCAGTGAAGGAGCATCCACCACCTCCCGAGGCAGACTGTTCCACTGCTCAACCACTCTTACAGTTAGGAAGTTTCTCCTGATATTTAGCCGGTAACGACTCCCTGGTAATTTCCACCCATTAGATCTAGTCTTGCAATCCCCAACTGAAGGACTTGGGCTGTAATGGATTCCCAAAACTGGATTGGGCTCAGAGGGCCTCGGACTTTCCTTGAAAGACCTGGGATTTGGGCTTGATTAGTGCCCTTGGGGCACTTCATTGAGGTTCGCAAGGGAGAGCTTTCTGCTAGTACGCGGCCTCTCTCGCTCCGGGGGAGAGGGGTGCTGCTTCTTGTATCTTCCACCCCAGGCACCACAGCACCACAGTGCCCTATGAAAAATAAACAATAACAAATATTAGTACATTTCTGTGAAATCCCAGGGACACGGATATCCTTCACAATAAGAATAGGCCAGTGATGTAATACTCTTCTCTATTGCAGGAGACTGCCTGGTCCTCTTCAGCTGAAGTGTCATCCAATGCAAATAAAGTGCAATAGCCAGTAAAACGTTCTTTGTGTCTTTCTTATTCATGTCTTCAAGTAGCACAGAAAGTCACGATTCCGCAGTGTGGCAATCATGATCTTAGAGCTATTCATGCCTATGAGAGAGATCTGGCAGCCAAGAAGCTGAGTACAGTCTGCACGTATTCTGCTCTGAGGAAGCCTATTGAGACGGGTGTTTGAGTAAGCCTGTCTGCGGAATCGTGACTTTCTGTGCTACTTGAAGACATGAATAAGAAAGACACAAAGAACGTTTTACTGGCTATTGCACTTTATTTGCATTGGATGACACTTCAGCTGAAGAGGACCAGGCAGTCTCCTGCAATAGAGAAGAGTATTACATCACTGGCCTATTCTTACTGTGAAGGATATTCGTGTCCCTGGGATTTCACAGAAATGTACTAATATTTGTTATTGTTTATTTTTCATAGGGCACTGTGGTGCCTGGGGAGGAAGATACAAGAAGCAGCACCCCTCTCCCCCGGAGCGAGAGAGGCCGCGTACTAGCAGAAAGCTCTCCCTTGCGAACCTCAATGAAGTGCCCCAAGGGCACTAATCAAGCCCAAATCCCAGGCCTTTCAAGGAAAGTCCGAGGCCCTCTGAGCCCAATCCAGTTTTGGGAATCCATTACAGCCCAAGTCCTTCAGTTGGATTGTCATCCGACATACCTGAACCTCACGACATAGGAATGGATCATTTTTTTCCTTAAAGAATGAGCTTGAAATGCCTGGTTGATCTGTTAAAAGGAAAGGAATAATAATAATGATAATAACAACAACAACAACAACAATATACTTTATTGTCATTGTACATAGTACAACAAAATTAAAGGTGCAATCATTTCAGTGATCTACAGCCATACTCATATACACTCACACAACCATTCACAACCAACCCATAACTCCCTTAAGGTTCACATTGCAACTTAAACCACCAATGTCCCCCAAATTCCAATTTCATACAGAATTTAAAGCAAAAATAGCTCTCGAATAAAAACTATTTTTTAATCTGTTTTTCCTTGTTTTAATTGTCCTATATCTTCTACCCGAAGGCAGCAGTTCAAACAGGGAGTGTTCAGGGTGTGACAAATCCTGCAGAATGTTCTTTGCTTTTTTCAAGCATCGAGAACTATAAAATTCCTCCAGGAACGGGAGAGGGCAGCCAATAATCTTCTAGGCTGTGATGGATGTTCAACGAGATGCATCACACCAGATAAACACCAAGCCCTTCTGGCCAGGATTTAGTGTTGTCAACTCCAGGTTGTAATTGGACTAGAATCATTTCTGCACAGTGAACATGGGTGGGGTGCAGCCTTGGTTGAGTCACTGTGGTCCATGTGTGGCTGGAACCACCTGGAGATTGGCAAAGGGACTGGAAGGGAAGCATTTGAGGGATTTCAAGGTATCCGTTGAAACAGTGAAATTTGTCAGGATCACGCAGGAGAGGTTTTTGAAAACAAAACATCCCACATCACCAAGTACGGAAAGAGGGCAGTCCAAAGGGAAGAGGCCATTCCCACTCACCAGTGTCTCGACGGCTGTGCTCAGTTCTCTAAATTCAGCTGAGGTCTGTTTTTCCAGGCTAGGCTGATAGCCCACGTTGTTGATTCTAAAGGCAGCACTGTAATAGAACTTCTTTTGGTCTGTACAGGGAGAGGAAAGGGAGAAGCTCAAGGTGACGCTGACCGTTCTGGTCTGCCAACCCTCCTGTTCCCTAGAGATTTGCAGTCATATTTGTGAGCTGATGGAGTGCTGGATTCAGTGGTAGATTTCCAGCTGTGCTAAAGCGCTTGAGCAAATAAAAGCATGGAGAAAAGACAGTGCTGGCAGCTCTCACTGATCATAGAGTTTCTGGCCATTCCTAGAGCTACACTTGTTGTCCTCAACCATAGGCCTAGGTGGGACGTCTCTGCCTTGCAGGCCCTGCGGAACTGTACCGGGTCCCACGGGGGAACGGATGTCCTTGGGCAGAGAGCTCCACCTGGCCGGTGCCAGGGCTGAAGAAGCCCCGGGGCTCCGGCTGAGGACAGCCAGGCACCCTCTGGGCCAGGGATCTTGCGGGAGGTTCTTATCCCCAGAGCACAATGCTCTTCGGGGAGCATACCGGGAGAGGCGGCCCCGTAGATACGCTGCTCCCAGACCAGTTAGGGCCTTGAAAACTTGAACCTGATCCGGTACTCAACTTGGAGCCAGTGCAGTCGGCGAAGCACTGGTTGGATATGTCCTGATGATGGGGTCCCCATAAGGTATGTAGTGTTTTGTCCTGCAGACCCACAACCGATACAAAATACTGAGAGTCTTTTATGCCAATGCACGAACATTCAGCATCACAGGGGAGAGGCCGCTTGGCTGGGGAGGTTTCTTCATGGATTCCGCCTTCCCTTTCCCATCCCCTGGGACACTGGGCACGGCCGGGCACGCCCCCCCAAAACCTTCGGACTAGGATTGCCAGCCTCCAGGTGGGGCATGGAGATCTCCCAGAATTACAAGTGATCTCCGGACTATGCGTAGCAGTTGCCGTGGAGCAATGGCTGCTCTGGAGGGCGGACCCCTGGGCCTCCTGGGGCATGATGCCCCCCCGCTGAGCTCCCTCCCCCTCCTCAGACCCCCCGCCCCCAGGCTCCACCCCCAAATCTCCAGGAATTTTCCAGCCCACAGTTGGCACCGATCTTCTGTCGCCACAGGCCCCACCAAGCTCCTTCTGAAGTAGAGATTTTGGGGGGGGGGGTTTTGAGAGAGGGGGAAAATCCAGAAAATTCAGAATAGAACCATTTTTCTCAAGGCCCTTCCCCCACCCCCCCAAACTTCCCAGCAGAAAATTGGAAGGTTTGGGGGAGCACTGAGACAGCCTCCTATTAAATTTTTTTCCCTTTTAGAATGAGTAAAATGTTCCATAAGGCAAAGTTTTCCACACAGAGAATCTATGCCACTCTGTACAGTCTTCGGACTTCTTCAGCTCTTCCAATGAAAAAATGGGGAAATACGGGGGAAGCACTGGAAAAAGATCTCCGAGGGAATGTTTTCTCTTTTTGAAGCATTTCACTCATTCCAAATATGCAGCATGAAAAGGTCTGAGGTCAATTTGTCCTGTGGAAAATTTGTGCAGAGCACTGAAAACAAAGAACTTATTCTGTAGACATATACGATCATTTCAACCCATTTTGTTCACAGGTAAACTATTTGGGCAACAATTGGCTGGGAGAGGGGAGGGGAGGGGAGGGACATACCAGGGCCAGCCTGGCCACTAGGAGATCCAGGCGACACCCCCACCCCACCCCTGGGGCACCAGATGTTGAGGCTTTAAAGGCAGAAACTGCCCTTTGCTTTGCGCTTAGCTTTGGCTGCACATGCAGGAAAATCCTTGGATTCCCAGCCAGTGACAAAAAAGAGGTGTGGATTTTTAATCCATTTCCAGTGTAATCTGGGTAATTCTCTGAGTCATCTGGGAAATTCTCATCTCCATTAGTAAATATGAATTTTCTAGGAAGTTCTTCTAGACGAACGTGCAGGGCCTTTTCTAGACAGCCTAAGCAGGGGGGGGGGCAGCTCTTTCAAATCCCACCTGACTTCAGACGTTTTGGAAGAGTCAAGATGACCCCTTCCTACCCTCTGCTTGACAGGGCTGGGAACCGTTGGGAGAAGGGGTGCTTTGTTTGGCTTAGAGACAGGCCTGCTGGGGAGCGGAGGCCTGGAAGCCACACCCAGAAGCCGGTTCAGTGAAAGGCCGTAAACTGTTGATGGACAGATGGTGGAAGTCAGTGGGCGGCAGGGCTCCTGAGGACACATTATCCTGCCATCACCAGGCACGGGTTAATTTCATTTTGACGTAGGCCCTGGGATAAAGGCTGTCCTTAGGACAAAAACTGAGGGGGGGGGGGAATCATTGCTGCAGAGTTCACTACCAGTGCTATCCATTCACATCAGGTAGAAAACTGACGTACTCACCGTACACCAAAAAGTATACAAGCAACCCAATGACTATTGCAACAAGCGCCAACACTGCCATGACAATCAGTGCGATCTTCCATGGTTCCAGACTTCTCTTTTTTGTCACTGACCCAGCCATTC